ATTAATTTCTATCGAGGAAATAGTCCGCGCGCGAGTCTCGGTCTCGACCTTTTTGATTTTATTGTAACGAGCATTTTATTATTTCCACGGTGTGCACGATATGCCGTGAGCGCGAAACGACGGCTCGCACAGCTAACTAAATTATGTATCTCTCTCTCTCTCTTTCTCTCTCTCTCTCTCTCGCTCTCGCTCTCTCTCTCTCTCCCCTCCCTCTTTCTCTCGCGCGCGCGCCGCACAAAATGCTTACGCACAAGTCACCTTTTTGCTTGATAGTTCGAGCGTTTCAGGTGAATACACTAATTAACGTGTATGCCACACTCGCGTTGCATTTAGAATCCCAATTGTATATTTCGTTTCTGCGTGACTTTGCATTAAATTCCAATATTTGAGGGCGTATCTCGCGTATGCGCGAAAAGAGCCAAACGATTGCATTCGCCGCTTCACAAATCCCGAGCTCCCTTGGGTCTCATTTATGGACTATCGAATTTATAGACTATAGACATCCCGGCCAAAAAAGAATTACAATAATTACAGCGATAAAAATCAGATGCGCGCGGAAGAAGGGACAGTCCGGGGAGGGAGAGAGAAAGAGAGACGCTGCTGGTATCGCGTAGGATAAAAGATGCGACGACGAATCAAAATACCCGTGCGCAGTCAAAGGGGCCGAAAACGCTTAATCCATCGGGCATAAACTCTCGAACATTACGGTGCCAAACAGCTTAACGTTGGGGAAGGGTTTTAACATCTTCGCAGAGCATATTTTAAGGAATCTTCAGCGGCCAGCGAAATGTGAGATTTTATCCACCCACATCTCAGTTACTTTACTGCAAACTTGCCCGTCTGCATTACATATGCATTACATGGTCATCCATTGACGCATCTTGCGCGCGTGTTGAGAAAAAAAAACATCCGCGCAGTGTCGCGCAACAAAGACACCCGTCCTGATCCTTTTCGTATTCTTCGGATGCTTTCGCACGCTGCAAAACAAAATATTCCCGAGTCGAAAGTTGATTCTTTCAACCTCAATATTCCATTCCAACGTCTACTACTTTCAAGCTTATGTCCACCTCTTTTGATTCTAGTTAATCTACTAACTTTGCCGAGAAGTCCTCTTTAGAACTCGCAAGTGGCATTCATTCGTTGCGTTTCTCGCTAAGTAAGACTTCAGTTTCCGTGTGCATTAAACATACATCGATCTCCTTCAGGGGATATTAGAAATATCCTTGAGAATGTTAGAAAGTCCAGGTCGAAAATAGGGTCAACACTTCGACGACTCGCGGGTTGTCCGTTTCAAACACGCGCTGCATCTCCATCACTGTCCCCCTCGGCTTTCCGAGCAGACTCCAAGAGAAGCGACAGGTGATTAGAAATTGACCCAATTCGAGCGTCTCCTGCAGACGAGGTCCTTCGCGAGAGGAAGAGGAGGAGGAGGCCAAAGAGGCAACCGAGAGGAAACACCGCTCAACAGAAGCCGCGATACATTCCCGGATTAGCCAATCGCGATATCTCCGCGCCGGGAGAAGCCCGAAATCCGATATGACGAAGTAAGATCACACGCGTCTGACCCTTATCTCCATCCGGCTGTCGCCTCTGGTTCGCACGCAAGCGAACAAAGCGCGTGAGCACGCGAAAGTGCGTGCCTGCCTGCCTGCCTGCGTGCGAATGTGCGCGTGTGTGAGCGGTTACCTGTTTCCACGCGGAGCAGAGCACACCGCAGGTATCCGCGGGTCCAGACACGCAGCTTGCGCGACTACCTACCTGGCTCGCAGGTGCGAGCAAGCCTGCGGACGCGCGGCGCGCTCGTGCGAGGGCGTGTATATCCTGACATTGTAAAACTCGACGTTACACTTGCGTAGCCAATTGGGTAGGCCGGCTCCCTCTAGGACGGCCCAGATCCTCTCGGTGGCTTCTTCTTTCTCTCCTCTCCTCTCCTCTCATCTCGTCTCTTCTCCGCTCCTCACCGGCCGCCGCGTCGAGCTGCGGCGTCTCGTCCCTCGCGCGCTACCACGGAACCCGGAGACCTCTCCGGTATCGTCCAACTGCCATCTCGAAAAATCCGTGTCCTTCGTGGACTGCTACCGCGGCCGGAAGACAGCGTCCGGCCGCGAGATCCGCCGGTGCAGGAATGCAGCGACAGAGAGGAACAGGGACGGTATTACCGGTGATACTGCCACGAGAGCGGGTATCGCAGTTGCAAATCGACACAACGAAGTTGGGAGCTCACCCAACCATCAAAATTGAGGGTCATTACCTGACACACTTACACAATAATAATATAATTAAGAAAAACTATAAATTAATTAATAATATAATTAATAATATAATTAAGAACACTATAAATAATAAAAATACTAATAATAATTTATAATAATAAGACAATAATATAATTGTACTAGGCAAACCGGTCACAATAATGACTCAATTTTTACAGTTTGGTGAGATCTCCGAACTTCATTGTGTCTAAAGAGTTTTGCAACTTATTCTGTGTATACAAAACTTCATTAATATTGCTTCATTCTCTCTCTCTCTAATACAGTGATACTTAAACTTTTATTTAAAATAGTTTAAATTATATATATATATATATATAAATGTTATTATCTTAAAATAATAATAATAATAAAATAATAATGATAATAATAATAAAATTGTATTATTATTATTAAAATTATATATTATATAAATATTCAGCAACTCCTCGAATAATCAATAATCACATAATGTACGAATATTTATAATATTAGTTGGATCCACCCTGCATTACTCACAAAGTTATCAGTGTCAAAATGTTTAAAGATCAAAAGGTCAAAGTATCAAAAGGATGAAATCAGGGAGAAGCAGTGGGATGTCTAAGTGTCACGTAATTTATGTTTTCCGCAGGATCTTAAAGATTAAATATGCAGAATTTGGTTCACAGATCGGCCAAAGGGCTCAAGAATATATAAAGAACATACAGACAGACAGACAGATATTCTATTTTACATATATACATAAATTTCAAATGTCACTATGCCAAGGAATGGAGCAACATTAATGGAGCTTTCTGTACGCGAACGGTCGCGACTACGCTCGGAAATTTGCCGGCGATTTCGATAGCATCGACGAGCTCCGGCTCTGCTCGACTTCCCCGCGCAGAACGTGCGCGACGTCGCGGTGGCGCGGCTCGTTAAGACGCGCTTCTGAATTACGCGACGTTGCGCCAGCGAGCTACGCTTCCACACATGGAAACGCCGAGATTGCTCCCGTGGATTGTCCGTGGAGCGGCGATAAAAAAAAAAAACGTATCCCTCCCTTTGCCTTATTAAAAAGGGGAAGTAAAGGTCGGACAACACGCGGATCCGTCGTCCCGGCGTTAATTTGTAGCGCGGACAGTAGCGAGGAGGGGACGTTGGCCTAATGGCATTAGATCCAGAATGACCGTATCAAGCGGTCAAGGATCGATGCGCGTTAATATCGTCGCGATCGCGAGTCGGCTGTTAATTAAAAGTGCCGCCACGTGTTTATCGCGTTTACGAGCTCCGCGGGCTCCGGCGTTCTGCTAATTCAAGTTGCTTTCGAACGATGCGGAGAGCGGAATGTTCGTTTCCATCTAATTATAAAGCAGCCGTATTGCACTCGTATTTCACTTGTGCTTAAAGGATGGGAATTCCGCGCGGCGGGCGAAGCACGCAGCGACGGCGGCGGCGGCGGCAATGCGCGCGGGCGCGTTCTCGCGCAACTAGATCCGGCCTCGATACGTCTTGTTGACTCACTTAGCCCAACACACGGCAAGTTCACTAACCGTATAGATCGTCACCTCGTGACAGGAACTATTTAAAGTGCGCTCCCGCCGGCTTGATATAAGACGCGGCAGCTGCGATTGGATCGTACGCGGCGCCGATGGGTCACACGCGCGCGATGGGCATACGCATTGTGCTGTCTTATTATTACACGTTGAATTTAGCGAAAGCACCGCGGTGCCAGAGCACGATCGTTATTTGAGACGCGCCGTACGCCTCGCGTCCCGGCGGGCATTGATCCATATGAAAATTTTCTACGGCTAATCATCGGCAAATCAATCATCGAGATCAATCAATCGTTATACATAAAGTCCCGAATAATATTAGAATGACCGATAAAATTTATTATTAATCAAACTTTGTTGTGTGACTGATGATTATACGCTGATTAATAATTAATTTAATCGATCAATTAAATTATTCGTGATTACAGATATGATAATTAATTGATTTTTATTATTGATTTGCTGCGATTATTTTAGGAAAGAGGAAATTAATAAGCCCAATACGGGCTAGGATCGGGCATTAATTAATTTTTTCGACTAAAATAATAGGGAAATTGATTATACGTCATATATAAAATCACAAACAATTTCATCGATTAATAAAATTAATTATTGATTAATTATTGATAAAACTTTGATGTAATTCATTATACAACAATTAATTAATAATTAATTTCATCAATCGATTAAGTTATTCGCGACTACAAATATGATAATTGGTTAATATTGATTATTGATTTGCCCATTATTTTAGTGAGAAAATTTCATACAATTATTGCCCGACATTGACATTTATTAATGAAACACTCATGGTCCAAGCTAAATTTTTTTCTAATGTATCTCTACGAACGGAGAGCGAACAAAGAGTGACAGAGGAAAGTAGTAGACAAGGACAGGAATTCGAAATACCGAGATGTCATTTCGGGTATTTGTGTCATTGAGACGAACGTAAAAATGAGTCCCTCGCAGTGGATGTTTAACTTTGTGAGTTACATCTATTTTGTGGTCCATTCGTCAAACGCGTTAATGACCATCCCATATTTCTCGCTGCTCATTTAAATGTTCGTGCACGTGGGACGAGAGGCAGGCGGAGAGGAGGATTCCCGACGAACGCGGCGAGGACTACATTCGGGAATGTGTTCCGCGTGCGTCCGGGCGCTATTTAATTCGGAAAATGAAATATATCCCGCTTGGTTGTGTTTTATGTTTCGTATAGGCATGCCCTTCAACAGCACATGTTGCGACACTCCGGCAAGAAGTACAAGTGCGGACTTCCGGGCTGCCCGACGGTCCTTCGCACCGCGTCCGAACTCGAGCGACACCGAAAGCTGATCCACGACAGCGTCGAAAAGCAGTATTCCTGTCCCGATTGCTCGTACGCCGCGAAAACCAACACGCAGTTGCGCAGGTAAGGTGACTGTTATTAAGGATCGACGGCGGTGGAAGACAGTCAGAGAGAGAGAGGGAGGGAAAGAGATAGAGAGGGGAAGTGAGGAGCGCTTCACGACGCGCGGGTCTCTTTTTAACAATTCAGTTCGCGTACGATCCACGGCTCCATCTCGCAGGGGCCGCGGCACGACTTCTCGGACTGCCGATATTATTGACATTAATTTTAATCGAGGTCCCCGCCGGGGGAACGACGCATTCCTGCGCCATTAATCGCGCGGCTCACGGCCCGCGTATGTATGATCGATGCCTTCGAGGAAGCGGAGAATTAATTGCGAGTACTCGCGTCGCGCGTCGCGCGCCGCCACGCATACGTAATTGCGAGTACGCGGACAGCGAAAGAATCAATCTTCGCGGATTATTGATAGAGACAATGGGGAGGATATAATTTGAAGTGTAATTTATCGAAAATCCGATTACACATCTCTGTGCTCGCGCGAGGCGAGCGGGCCGGCCTCGATACTCGGCAATTTTCGTACCGCCTTTTATCTCCTAGATTTATTAGCCGGTTATTTTAAGACTCACAGATAGGCGCTCACGACGGGATCATCTGTATCTGAATTAATTCACGGCTCAATGATTCATTCAGAGACATGAGGTATCTTGATTCCGTTGGCCGTAGCTCGCGCGCTGCGACGCAATTGACGCGGCGCTTTCAAAGCACGGGCGAAACGTTAAAAGAGACCACGGATAGTTCGCGACTACTTCTCGAGACCCGTTAATCGGGCCGAGCTCGTTATAAGCCCGAATGCGCGACACGGTATGTTTTCGCTGCGGAAACTCCCTCTCATCCGCACCCTTTGACCACTTCCCAAATTCTCTGCTCGATCGACAACCCATTGTTGCAGCGAGCGCGCTTGCACCAGCCCCGTGTCAGCGAGTGGACGCGCGCGAAAACGAAAGATCCGATTTAAATGAAGCCTTATTAAGTTTATTGTGGCATGGAAAGCGTCTGTAGTAAATTTCCCTTCGTTCGACATTACGCGCTCTTCTCCCGCTCCACGGACGACTCTCAAGGAGCTGAGAAGAAATACGAAGGTCGCAGCAGGGAGAGAGAGAGAGAGAGAGAGAGAGAGAGAGAGAGAGAGAAAGGCAGGCGAGAGAGAAAGATCGAGGTGGAGGACCGCGAAAGCGGAAGTTGCGTGCAGCAGCCGGCTAAGTGCGGGCAACCCGTTATGATCGTCCGCGCATGGCGATGGTAGCCGCGATATTTCATCGCGAATTGAGTACTTACTACGTGAGTCGAACTCAACGCAGCCGCAGAGTGTGTCGCACGGACTCTCTTCCACCGACGCTTCTCTTCCGCGTGTGTCCACTCGTCGGGCTCTCTCTCTCTCTCTCTCTCTCTCTCTTTGTCTGTCTCTCCTCTCTCATTCTTTCTTCTCTCCTGCTCTCTCACTCTCTCCCCCTTCCTTTCTCTCTCACCCTCCTTTCTCTCGTTCTCGTCCTCCCTCCCGCGTTCTCGCCGCGAGAGAGCCCGGCGGAGTAAATCACGCGGGATTTTAATTAAACGTGTCACGCATCTCGAACCTGATATACATGTAGTCGCGGCCAACGGCTCCCTCGTAATATCGCGCACGCATATCGCATCGTTCATAATCACCGGGCCGCGACTGCGACGATGAACTTGGCGGGATACGGAGGTGGAGGAGATGCCGAGGCGAAGGACACACCTCCGATGCGATCTCGTGTCTTCCACGTTGAAAAAGTGCACGCTCTTCAGACGCCCGTCGCGCGCGCGTTCGGCTTATATAGAAAATATTCGCGGCCCGCGATCCCTTGGACACGCGATACTCGGAGACCCCGGCAAGCCTTCGTAAATTAATCGGTTTAATCTCTTATGAATTTCTGATTTATATAACGAGTCGAGTATATTCGATTGTCCCCCGTCTTGTCATCTTATAACACAACTCTCATCCTGCACCAGAATAAAAGGAAAAGCATTTACGCTCGGATGATTCAATTCTATGCGAGTTTTAAGTAACACCCTGTCATGCTTTTTACTTCCACTGAGAGAAATTATCCGATAAAAAATTAACAAACGGATATTTCCGATCAAAATACCGATGAATTTTTCTATCCGATCAGAATATCCGCTTAAATTGAATCGAATACTTCCGATCGTAATGGACATTTCATCACATAAATCTGATCAAAAAATTATAAACCGATATCTCTCATTGGATGGATCGGATACAAAAATTTATCGTTATTTTAATCGAGAATATCCGTTTGTTAATTTCTTATCGAATAATTTCTCTCAGTGTCGTGATGGGATTTTTGTGGTCGCGCAGATCTTTTCAGACACGACTCGGAGATTCGCGCTCATAAATCGATCGGCCGCGCGAGCGTTGTTCATAATTCCCCGGCTACCAGAGATATTTCCGACGATACCGCCTCTATCTCCCTGTCGCCTAGGCTGGCTTTCCCCCCGATGACACAAACCCGCACTACCTACTTCTCTCCGCGACTATCGCGGCAATAGTCGCCTCACGCACGACACCGGCCTGTGACGTCCTCGACAGATATGTATATTCTCCAGATTGGATGCCTCGGTACCTCGTCTCGTCGTAGGAAATTTATCCGGCGTTAATAGCCGCGTCGGTCGCCTATTAACGCCCGGGCGTTAATCAGACTTTCGTAAAATGCTCCACGATCGGCTCCGATAAACTTCGCATCCGCTTGATTCCAATGGGAATTTTCATTTAATGGCAATAATCGTGCGTATATCGGACACGTAAATCCTTATCATTATGCTTTAATTGCCCGCGTCAGTGGGTTCAATAGCGGAAAGGGTCTAATTAACTGAGAGAACATGTGCAACGATCGCTCTCCGTAAAATCGCGCGCGAATTTGCGAGGTGACTTTACGGCCGCCGACTGTCGTCGTTATCGTTTCTCGTTTCGAGCGATTGTATTTGTTGCAGGCATAGAGCGAAGCACGACGATCCCGTGAGCGCCAAGGAACGCCAGATTCACCGCTGCAGTTACGCAGGTTGCAATTTCAAGACGAAAGTCAGTTCTCACTTGCAGCGACACGTGCGGTTGCATACGGGATCTAAACCGTACAAATGCCGGCACTGCTCCTATGCGTGCAACAATCTGGTGAGTTGACGCATCCGACACACATGTCGAATACTACATAGTTTGTCTTAAACTGTATACTCGCTTAAAGTGAATCAGTAAAAGTGTTCCTGACTGAGTCAGCGAAAGGAGTGTGTAGTCCCCTTAAGGGGATGCTGAAATTGAAAACTTTACCAACAAAATATTGACATTTTTCTGCAAAGTTTATGTTGTATTGGTTGTACAAAGTTACAAACGCAATGAAGGTACATGCAAAAATAAATAGGAGCATTGCTCAATACGTATAACAAAAACAAAAAAGAATTTTAAATCTCAAGCTGTCAGTTACTCTCTTAAAGTGAATCAGTGAATAGTCAGTGATATCAGTTATAAGTATAGCACTGAGCACTTTCAGAATATTGACATTTTTCTGCAAAGTTTATGTTGTATTGGTTGTACAAAGTTACAAACGCAATGAAGGTACATGCAAAAATAAATAGGAGCATTGCTCAATACGTATAACAAAAACAAAAAAGAATTTTAAATCTCAAGCTGTCAGTTACTCTCTTAAAGTGAATCAGTGAATAGTCAGTGATATCAGTTATAAGTATAGCACTGAGCACTTTCAGAATATTGACATTTTTCTGCAAAGTTTATGTTGTATTGGTTGTACAAAGTTACAAACGCAATGAAGGTACATGCAAAAATAAATAGGAGCATTGCTCAATACGTATAACAAAAACAAAAAAGAATTTTAAATCTCAAGCTGTCAGTTACTCTCTTAAAGTGAATCAGTGAATAGTCAGTGATATCAGTTATAAGTATAGCACTGAGCACTTTCAGTGCTATACTTATAACTGCAAATCAGTGTATATTCACTATTTTCAGTGGTCAGTAAGTCGTTTCCGCAATGTTAATGCTAGGCATACAAATCTGTAATTATTTGTATTTCGAAGACGTGGCGATGTTATCATTGACAGGATCGGTTTACTTTTAGCTGAACTCAACAAAGGTATTTTATATTGTCAGTTTTAATTATTTATTATATTTCAATTTTACTTATTTTTATTTTATTTTATATGTTTTTTATAGTTATAACGGCTACTTCTCAATATTAATTTATTATTTAATATTATTTCGGTAACGGTCTTGTCGGCTTTAATATTGCGACTAACATTGTCAATTTGCGCAGGTCTTTTATTAATTGTAATGCGTTCGTATCAAAACCTTGAGTTTTATTATCACTGAAGAGGGTTCATGGTTGAGCCAAAACGTATGATTGTTTTATATTGATTATTCATGTTCAATAAATATTACACGATTTCCTAACACAAGGAAGGTTTTTACCCATATTAGTCCTGTGCTTGAACTCGAATTGCCCTTTTTCCTATTGTTTGATTATTTTCAGTGGTGTTTGATTCATTTTAAGAGAGTAGCGTAATATTTATCTAATTCAAAAGTTCCGCAGCTTGTACATACCGAAAATTCAACAAACAGAAAAATGTTGAAGAACATTCAGAAGTTTAACACTTAAGCACTAATAGGAGTCTGATAGATTCCCAATGAAATAAAAAAACCTATTGCTGTTTCACTCCCACTTAAGCGTCCATCTTTTCTTTGGCCGGTAAGATATGAAGTGGCGACAAGAAAAGACGTTTCGGAAAGACACTTTCTCAGGTAATTATCAAACTTCGAAATATTTGTGTCTGTGCTTAAGGGTTAAGAATATCAGAAAAGTTTACAGAAAGATTTCTGCACATGCGTGGTTAGGCTTTCGGCTGAATATGGTAAAAAAAGCAAATTTATGCAAGTTCTGTATGTGTAGAAATGCGAAAAGGATAACGTGATTGTGTTCGTGACGATCGTCTCTGCAGTATCGACATTATTCGACTTCAACATTCTCTTAAGGGGACTGGAGGGTCAGATTGCCTAAAAATCGCGCTTGTTCTTTCAAAATTTTTTTTATGACAAATTGAATGAATATGCGAAAATGTTATTTTGACGTATTTTTATATAACATATAAAGAGAAGAAAAATTTTGATGATTAAATACTCAATATAAGTATATGGTACATACAGTTTTTTAAAATATATCTTGTTTTTCTTTTCAAAGTCGTCATTTTGCAGTAATATCTTGACTGGTAGTTCAATTAAGCTGAATTTTAGGTAGAAAATTTCCGTAAGCTTGTCGTTATCGTGTAAATCATTGACAAACTCGTGAAAATATTTAATTTTGAAATATTAATTTTTTTACTATAAAAAGACTGAAAATTTAATAATATTCCATTAAGATATTTGCAATTTTGTTAACTTTTACTCAATTTTCATTATAGTGGTTCACATGTCTCCTTAAGGAGTCCTTAAGAGAACTCCACTCCTCTTAAGAAGATGCTGGAATCGATGATAAACTCGAACAATGTCAATAATGCAAAGACAATCGTCACTAACATAATCACGCTATCCTTTTCGTATTTCTTACAGAACTTACATGAATGTGTGTTGCTTTATTTTATCATATTAAGCGGAAAATTTAACTTAATATATATGTAGAAATCTTTCTGCAAACTTATTCGATATTTTTAAGCTTCTAAATGCTGATACGAAGGTAGAACAATGTTCTTCAAAATTTTTCTGTTTGGAGCATCCACACTTTCGGTATGTACAAATTGCGGAACTTTTGGATTAGGCAAATATTACGCTAGCTGATAGCTTGAGATTTTACATTAAAAATTTTTTGTTCGTTTTCGTCACATCCCGAGTCGAAATTTTGATACTACTTTGACGCTCTTAAGGATAATTTGCGCCTACTTATAGACGGTTTATAACCTAGGTAAAACCTTTGACGATATTGATACTCATTAACTTCTCTTTTGAATCTTTAACTCTACCTTATCAAAATTTTGACGCTACTTTGACGCTACTTTGACGCTCTTAAAAATAGTTTGAGTCTACTTAGATAATCTAAAACCTAGGTGAAACCTATTTTGACGATATTGACACTCATTCCCGAGTCAAAATTTTGATCCTATGTTGAACCTTTAATACACCGCAATAAGAGCTAAGATAGCAAAGTAGGTTTAATGTTTAATGATATAATTTACTCCTACTTTTGACACTGATGATGTCTGAAATATATGCAACAGATAAAACGTATATTTTGTATGCTATTTAACGTTTCTATTTCGTTATTTATTAAATTTTTTAAATATTTCTATAAAATACATATATTCTACGGAGCTAAAGCTTCAATAGAGATTCGCAACTGAATCTACTTTGCTTTCTAAAATCCTACTATTATACAATCTACTTTGACGTTAAAGAAAGCGAAAATGGAAATTTCAAACATCATCAGGGTCAAAGTAGGAATAAATTATATCATTAAAATTAAACCTACTTCGCTATCTTAGTTCCTACTGCGGTGTAAAATTCAAGGTTCAACATAAGGTCAAAATTTCGACTCGAAATATCGAGCAATGCTCCTATTTATTTTTGCACGTCCTTTCATCGCATTCTGTGTAACCAATACGACGTAAACTTTGCAGAAAAATGTCAGTGTTCTGTCGGTAAAGTTTTCAGCTTCAGCATCCCCTTAACGACCGAATTCGTGACTGAGATCAGCTGTGTGTTGTAGGGATGGATGATATAGTATCGATATTTCAAATATCGATACTTGTAGGCTTCATTATCGATATTCTATCTTTCGATATTAGCATGTATCGATATTTGGATAGGAATATCGAACTTACGATACAGTCCGTGTACAACTAAACAAGTCCTTTAACAGATGTCTCGCCTAAACTCTATATTTTCTTTATATTTTCCTTAAAGTTGGTAATGTTGGGGTATCGACTGAATAATCCCTGGAACCAATAATGAGCACTGATACAGTCCATAAAGTAGATTGACATATTCTATTGGACGGAAATGCACAAAATGTCTTTGATCTTTTATGATTAGATCCAAAAAAAGGAAATAAATGTATGGTCACTGATCTTCCTACTGACTTTTCATTGATTGAATCTTGTTTAATAAGAAAGGGAATAATAACGTATTTTTACAAACTGAAAACTTCCTCAACATATTACAACATAATAACGTTACACTATAAGTACGAAACATTGTATGTAATCATATGTTAAACACCAATATATATCAACTCATGCATAAATAAAATTAATATTATTTATAATTATATTGCGGTATGTTGCAAAAGGTTAGATGATATCGATAATATCGATACATTCCACCTGATATTTTTTATATACCGATACTTTTATTTACGATACGTTTCGATACGAAATATCGATACTTTCTACTGTATCGCCCATCCCTAGTGTGTTGCGTGCGCTCGTCTGTGCGTATCTCGGAGGACCTACCGCGCGCGCACGTGTTACCGCGAGCGCAGCGCTCACGGCTGCGCACGCTCATCGGGACTCAAAGTTCGCTCCCCTTAAAACGTCGGCCCTCGGAGAGGCTGACTCGCGCCGTAGTCCAATTTTTGTCCGGCGGGTGAGTCCGTGGCGTAAATTAAGCAAAGTACACCTTAACGTTTGGACCGCGCCGCCGCCTCTGCCGCCGCCGAGGCGCGATAAGATAACGAGTTAATTGTGCTCACTGGATGCCCACACACGCACAGTCATACCGAGCGGCCGGTATGCTAATGCCCTTTGAAGCTTGAGTTGGGATGCGACTCGCATACGAGGTCTCCGTGTCTCTTTGATAGCGACATAAACTCATTCCAGTGGTTCCCAATCGCGCCCTCGCGGCGGCATCGATCAGGTGTTCCTTCGAGCGTCTCTCTCGGCCATCGGAAGGAAGGAGGCCCACCCGTCTTACCATCGCGTTGGCGATCAAGAGCACGTGCGAGCATTGATTAAAATTTAATTTAACTTCCTCGCATTGAAGGGAAAAAACGAAGGGATGTATATTGATTTAGAGCCGCGTACAAACGGACTGACCGCTCGATAATAGCGCGTGCGTAACGCAAATTAAATTTCTCGAAAATATAACGATCATCTAGTAGCAGCAACTTCGAAAGCGTTAATTCTCGCTCTCCCGCGAGTCTACCCGATTACTCAAATATCTCCAAGCATCGATAAATCACCGATGGCATTCGCGCGCGCCTCCGGAGATAGAAAAAAATAATCTATCGCAGAGAGTGTACGGCGTGTGAGAGCGGGAAAGAGAAACTCAGGCAGAAAGTAAGGGGGAGGGAGGGAGGGAGGGGGAGGGGGAGAGAGAGAGAGAGAGAGAGACTGGGAGAAGTATCGGGCCCGACGATAGCTGTTTGCACGGCACTTTAATAAGGAAGGAACGTGCGAGCAGCGCGCGGGGCGATTTAACGAGGGGATTCCCCGCCACGTAGAGCGGACGGCTCGCCTTGCGTCGACGAGATTACGCGCGCCACCTTCCTTCCTTCCTTCTTCCCTCCACGTTATGATTTACCTCGGATGGTTACACGCCTTTTTTTTCTCTTTGCGACCAGCACTTCCGCCCTCGCTTCGAAAGCGTTCTACCCTCCGGCTTCGCAGCGCGCGCCACCGTCGCTACTTGGAAAACTTTCGCCGAGGGTGGTAAGTCCTCGAACATTGGTTAACGCTGAATCTGAAACTAGTGTTCCCTCTCGCGCATCAGTCGCTGAAAGTCGTCGAAGAGACACTGCCCCCCTCCCCCCTCTCTCTCTTCCTCTCTCTGACTTCAAATTTCTTCACATCTATACTATTATATTACTGCAAACTTTATACATACTATTACTTCTTTTCTTATATTAACTTTTCTTATTTTTTGATATTATTGTTTTTCCTTTTCTAATATTATCAATACTGCGTAATAAGTTCGTTTAATTATCTTTTCGTACTTTATGTTCTGTTCATGCTCAATATATCTTGTTTTCTGTAAACTTTAAAGAACCTTTAAATAACCTCAGAGTGAAATAAACTATCTATCTCTTTCTCTCTTCTTTTTTACATAGTTTTGATCTTCGCTCTCGCTGCATACCATTCTTATATGCCAATTAATCTGCGAATTATAAATCATTCTCAATTATGTATATATATATATATATATACAATTTATTTTTATTTTTATATTATATTTCTGTAATCTATATTTATATTTCTGCGCTTGAAAGGGTGATGTCCCAGAGCGCACAATAAATGAAGCTCTCTCTCTCTTTCTCTCTCTATCTATCTATCTGTCTCCTTCTTTCTTCTCGACGAATCGTGAGCAACGGTAGAGAAACGTTGAGGGAAATAACTCTCTAAGGAGATGGAAATCACAAGACAGCACATTCACCAGTCTTCGAGCTGATCGGTTGATCGCGATTAAGCTCGATATATAGATACTGAGGAAAAAAAGCGGTTGGATTGATAAAATCGGCGGTCACTGGCCATCAAAGAAATATTGGATCTATTCAACAAAATACATGCTAATGCAACAATAAATTACATTAATATAGTAGATTTCAAAGCAACTTATTATTGCATTAACATATATTTTGTTGAATAGATCCAATAAAAATTTCTTTGATGGCCAATGACCGCCGATTTTGTCAATCCAACCGCTTTTTTTTCTCAGTGTACAGATCTAATGTCTTCAAGATTCGTTTCGGACCTCGCGCGCGTATCTTATTTGAGCGGTACACAACATTTCTTCCTCGCGCTAATTAATTTCTTCCTCCCGACGAGGCTCAATTATAATTATTCGCGGAGTATGCGGAACGATTAGGGGATCCTTTTAACCGTCGTCTGACGCCTGACGTGACTCGCGCATTCCCTGCTTATCTCCGCGAGTTTTTACTCTTTCGTGCAGTGCGCGCGAGTGTCACATTCCGCGACCGACAAATCTCGCGGCTCAGCTTAACAGGGAATTACGGGTCGAAATTATAATTTTATCGGGCCGCGTAATATTACATGCGGGACGAACGATTAAATTCTGCTTATTTATGGGACGTTCGAAGCGAGACGAGGAGCAGGGGAAAGCCGGACGAGAGCCGAAGCGAGCATCAACGAAACGTCGATCTGGGTTAAGGCCTCCTCCCTATCTCTCCCCAAATTTTACGACCTATTCGCATAGCCGACGGCGCACCGTTGCTCCCGGCGATTTTTGCGCATCCATCGAGATGTTTATGTTGCCATTGCAGTCGGCCGCGACTTTCTCGCGAGAGAGAGAATTAAAATAAAGCGGCGGTCGCTTAACTCTCCGCGTACAAACGTATTTTTTGAGACGTACAGTACAATCTAAACCTGTCAGGCCCGGCCAAGTTTGAACTATCATAACACTTTGTCGAGGAAATCAATATTTTTCTACACATTTTTTTCCAGAAATATAGAATAATCTCGGCTATAAGACAATAGCACGATGGAATCGAAATCAAAGCGCAAAAAGCAATATAGAAAAAAAATTTTCGCTATTTTGAAATTCCCCCAATCCTTTACAAAAGTTGGCACAAGGTTTCACGGATCCAACATTGTACACGAAAGGATTAAGAAACGCAAGAGGGATCTTGTCTAGAAGCAATTATCGTCAGGGGCGAATTTCTTCTCTAATACAAGATAATAACAAAGTCTCACAAGTTCGATATTTTATACTTAGCGTGGCGCAAATAACTTCTTTAGTCTCAGCCGCAGGTTCTTCAACTATCGATAGGTTTCTCGTTCGAGTAAAATGACCGAGTCTGATTTTTGATGAGTGACACATGGCAGAGGTTGGGCACGTTTCCTTCAGCGTCTGTTCGCGGCGCCTCGCGTCGCTGCCGCGAGCGAAACTGATTAGTCTCAAGCCTCGAAGAGCCACCGTGCGTCCCTGACAGTCGTAAAAACGGGCCGTGCACCTTTGCGCCGCGGGCGAGGCCATGGTGGCGTGCACCCCCTCGCTACGGGAGAAATTACACTCGTGGAAATCCGAATCGATTGGTCTAATGAAACTCTCATGCCACAGATTTGCGTGACAGCGCGCACTCCCCTGCGTGTCGCGGAGCGGCTCGCGGTCGGCCATAAAGGCGCGCGACCGCCCATGGCGGTGTGAACGAGGCTTAATCTGCGCCGCGTCACGGAGCGCTGCCCGCGGAAAGATTTACTTATGGGAAATTAAATTTGATGTTGCCGTTGCCATCAACGGCTCGTATAAGCCCGCCTGGTAGGAAGATGTTTACGACTACGGCCGGCTACTTAGTCCGAGAGGGTAAAGCGCCTTTAAATGCGCCAACGGCGTAGCCAATGAACGCGAGCGTCCGGTTCTGCGGCGAACCGATTCCCCGGTCGCCACCGGGTCGCCACCAGGTATCCCACTGTCGAACGAGCGCGAACGGAAGGCCGACTCGGCTCGATTGGACTCGCGGCCCCGACGATTCCTTTCGTTACGTCCGAGCGCGGCGAGAGGTTTCTTCTTTGTGTGAGCTTTTAGTCTCGAATGAAATTTTAATAGCGACGTCCGGACGCCAGGTAGGCTCGTTCGGCGAACCAAGTGGAAATCGTGGAAACGCGTAAAGCGATCGAGCGTACGCTCGTAAAACGCGCGCTTAATTCGTCTAATAAGGCCCGTTAGAATACGGGAGCATCGATCGCGCCGACCGGTATTTCACTAAATGGCGCTCGAGCGAGCGCTCGAGCAGCTTATCAGTAGCCAGTGGCCAATTGGTCTCATCATCAATGTATGATATCATTGTTCGTTCTCGCTTAGATTTAGATCACGTGTGAATTTTTGTCGTTCGCAGGAGAACCTACGGAAGCACGTGCTGTCGACGAATCTGCATCCCGGCAAAACGATCTACGAATGTAGTTTCTGCGATGCAGCAACAACGGATCCGTTCCGCACGAATTTCGCCAAGGAACTTCGCGCTCATCTGCTGCAAGCTCACACCGAGGACTTCCCGACGCCGGATTGTACGAATAAGTACGTCCTCGAGATCTTTTCCGTTAATTCGAGCGTTTCCACATCAAATTAACGCTAAAAGTACTGAGAGACAGTATATGGGCGAAATATCGCAATTTAATCATTCCACTTCTACCTATGTATGTGTATCTGTATGTCAAAAGGTTGATCGCTCAGAAAGTACATCGTTGTGTCGCGTATAACGTCGATATACGACAAAAACAACTCCGTTAGTGTAACTGAATTTTCTGTTACTTGGGGACCAGACGAAAAACTCGGAAACAGAAAGATTCCTGCGGGAGGTTTCCGCTCAGCCAATTGTTCTTAGCCACCTCAACTGAGTTTTAATGCAGCTCAGAATGCTCGGACGAATGTTTTCGGTCACGGTGATAGAGATATTATTTCTCGTCAGCGAGTTTTTCGTCCGGACCCCATTCAGTTACACGAACTGACAGTTTTTCCCGTGCACGGAAAAAAACAGCTCCGTTAGTGCAACTGAATGTTCCGTCGCTCGGTAAGGATAAGGGCCAGATGAAAAACTCGGCTGCAAGAGCAGAAGTATTCCCGCAGGAGGTCTCTACTCAGTCAATTGTCCTCGAGTTGTTGCAACCAAGTTTGAATGCATGTCGAAACAGATGTGTTCGGTTGATAAGCAAGAGATTTACGTCACCAAATTTCTACCTAGTCCCTGTTCATTTGCACACTTAGAGAAAACATCCAAGAAACGAGAAGTATTTATTCGATGGGCACCAATAACATACTTAGACCTATAAATTCCTCCCTCTAAATAAAACAAACAATCGCTTTCGTAGGAAAAGCGAAGATTTTGTAAAAGATGTGTATCATCCTGTTTGAAAAATATTTTATATCAATATAAATAAGTATCTAGTATCAGTAGCCAACGAAAATCAATATTCTCCACTTCTCAGATACCCTTCCTCTCAATGCACGAACCGAGACGTTTTTCCCGTGTATCCAAGATATGATAATTACACAGGCCCACAATTTTAAAAAAGTTGTCTGTGCTGGGAGTCTCACTAGATGTACTATACGTATTTTGGGCTGCTGAATCCAAATCCGGTGTCAGATTTGCTCCATCACCCTCGAGTTTCCCGGAAAATCGAGGAAATCGTGAAAAGGAGCAGATATCCCGGTTTTTACGGAGACATGTATTCAAGAAAAATTCTAGAGTGACGAATAACCTCATAATCCCACAACCAACGTTGAAAATACATTATGTACTTCAACATGGAAAACGAATCATTCTACACATCCCCTTACGGGGCAGTTGTCATCGTCTCCAACATCCTCTGAAGCAGCAGGATTTATCTGATCGACGATCATATATTGTAGAATTGATATTTCGAATAGAAAAAAGATTCCATCTCGTGGACAATAACATAAATGTGACCATGATAGGGCACGCACAGATTAGATTTTCTAATCTATGCGATGTTAAAGGATTGATGGGTGAACTAAAACCGAATATGTATGATGGTATATGGGTTATTGGGTTATTGGGTTGTTCTAGTCATCAGATGTTGAAGTACATAATGTATTTTCAACGTTGGTTGTGGGGTTATAGGGTTATTCGTCACTCTAGAATTTTCCTTGAATACATGTCTCCGTAAAAACATGGATATCTGCTCCTTTTCACGATTTCCTCGATTTTCCGGGAAACTCAAGGGTGATGGAGCAAATCTGACACCGGATTTGGATTCAGCAGCCCAAAATACGTATAGTACACCTAGTCAGATCCCCAGCACAGACAACTTTTTTTAAATTGTGGGCCTGTGTTATCAAGCTGCAGTTATAACACATATAACACTCTCACTTGCGAAAATCTCGCAAGTCTCGCCTTTCCTCGAGGAGAGGAGAGAACGGAAAGAAATATGTATTTTCGCGCATAAAGTTCGCCCTTCGAGCGCGTGTATACGTGTTCATTCTCATCCTCCTCCTATCATCGACACGTCGCACAACCGTTGTATAGTGCGTCTCGCGTCGGTTCCTCGCAAGATGAGCACCGTCTTTCGCGAAGCGCCCGGTAGAATTGTACCGAGCCAGGAAGTAGTTAAAGTGATGTACGGTCACGTGGCACGGTATGTAACTTGGACGCGTATAGGATCGAATCTTTATGCTCGCTGCACAGCGCGGCGCGAGAGACATTACGAGGATACCGCCACTGTCCACCTGCACGCGCGCGCGCGCGCTCACAATGTTTAGCGTAAGAATTCGAAGGTAATTGCACAATCTGCGGGTGCATCTCGCCGGCATACCGCGTGAATCTCGGCGGACGTAAAAACGAGCGGTCAGAGCGGTCGGTTATCGCTGTTACGTGCGAATTAATCGAGGAGAGTGGAGGAACACAGAGAGATGTATGAAAAAGAGAAAAAAAAAGAAAAAAACGAGGAGAAAAGACGCGCACAAGATGCATCAACTTCACAATCGTGTCCTTCACGCACCACCTCTGTCCACCTCCCCTCCTTCGCGCCCGTTAATGTCGCGTAGAAATTGAAATCCTCGCGCACGAGCTAAGCGGATTCGCGCGATCGTCACGCGATTAAAATTCTATTACGCCGATAATAAACTCATCATGGAGTGCTAAGTGGTGCTTCCGCGAATGCGAAATCAGCCGATACACGTGTCTGTGAGCGCCGGCACTCTCTTGTATATTCTATATTCATTTCCCACGATTAAAACGTTCCTTAAGAATATCACAGTTGCCTGGCGGCCGCGTGTCAACACTCTTCTGCCGAAACAGGTTCGCGTGCGTGAGCTCGTGTGTCCGAGGATCTATTTTCGTCGTGATTGAGGCCGTCACCTCACTATCAGGGAGGACACATTCCCGCGAGACGCCAGGACGTTTCTCCCGAAAGAAAAAAAAGGGGGGAGAGAGAAAGAGAGACATGTTGAACGCGCCGCGGCGGCCCAACGGAGATTCGAGCGACGCGCGATGGACCACCTCGTGGATCTCGTTCTACGAGACGCGTTTCCGTCTTCGGGGCTGCTGATTGTGAGAAATGCATCGTGCTGTCGCGCGAGATAGGTGTCGTAAAGTATTCGGCCCTCTCGGGCACTCCCGGCCCGGAGAGAACGGGGTGGGGGAGGCGAACGGGGAGGGCCGACCACGGGCGTCGTGAGCGTGAAGGATAATTTATTGACTAATTAACGAGGATGTCCTTCATTACGGGTCGAGCGGCAGTCCTGGTCGCTTGCTCTCGCTCGGAACCGGCATTATTTGGCGCCCGAATATTTACGACCGCGTCCTCCTTCTGGACCGGGTCCTCCGCCCCGATACCGCCCGGGTGCGAGTGAGAGGTACGAAGGAGCGCGCGGACCCATAACGATGTGTCCCGATCTTACGGCGATTCGGGGACCTGGAATTTCCTCGGCAACCGTCAGGACCTGCCGGGGGGACCCTACCCTACGCCGTCGACACGGCCCTGAGACTCTCTCGCGGGCGTTACTCGCCGGACAAAGGGTCGCGTTTCAATCCTAAGGAGGCTCTCGCGCGCTGCCGCCGCTTCTTCCACCGTCGAAGAATATCGAAAGGAGGTCGTTAAGGTTGTTCGATTTAATAAGCGTGGAAGAGACATCGGGTGACACACGTCTCGATTGCGCAGCAAGTCAATTGATCTCTCCAAAGTGGGACTCTTTTGCGTTTGCTATCGCATCGATGTGAAAAAAAAGAGAGCGAAAAGCGAGAGTGTAAAGAGATTAGCGAGTAGGCTGATAAAGACGTATCGTTAAGTATACACTGAGGAGAAATACTTGGAAATTTATTTATGAGACATAACATTTATTTCTGTGAAGTAAAATGTACTTTGTGAAAACAAACTTTACATTCCACAAATAAATCTTCGAATATTTTTTGTGCATCTTGTCCAATTTTACCGAAAAAAAAACATTAAAGTACAATTTTTTGAAAAATATATATAATGTGAAAAAGAAATAAATATTTAAAAACTAAAAGAATATTTAAAAACTAGAAGAAATATTTATTCGGTGAATATTAATATTTACTTGAATCTAAATTCTTTTGTTCAAATAAATAGTTCCTTTTATGAAAAATGTTTCAGGGAATTGTAAATTTCCCTACTTGAAAACATTTTTTTTTTATATTAATGTAAAGATAAATATATTATTAATAGATACACACCGAGCAGATATTTTTTATTTCCAGGTATCTTTTCTCTCAGCGTAGAACCTCGAGCAAACGGTTAAAATTCGCCGATGCGTCATCGCGAAGTGACTCATAAATTCTCCTCTTTGTGAGGTGAAAAGTATTGGAATGAAGAAGAATGACGATTACAGCAGCCCGCTCTCTTGTTCCTCGAACGTCTCTACTCTTCTACTCGACCACGTCAACGTGGCGAACGAAGAAGTCGATATGTAGAAAGAAGAAGTAACATGGAATTAGCGCGAACTGCGAAGTGCTAAGAAGTCGCGACAGGGCGGTTAGGTATACTGCTTAATGAAGATATAACGTGCCGGCTCCCCATGGGGTTGGTAGGACGTCGCCGGCACCGGGACGCCCCTCGTTTTCATTTCCCGACGTGTCCTCGTCGCGTTTCTGCAGCCCCTTCGCAGCCTCAGGTTACGCCGGGACATGCTCATCCTCTTTACGATCCTCGCCAGCGTCGTGGCTCGCGAAATTTCGCGGACTTTATTCCCTCAATTACACTTGGAAAGTTATATCGATGGCGTAGGAGCCGCATTCACAATAGCGCTCATCCGAGCACTCGCGCGATAGTTAACCCCGTCCCCGTGTCGCTTTTGATCGCAAAAACGAATCCACTTTCCGTCCTTGTATTTTCTGAGAGGGCGCCATTTTCGACGATATCGTGTCTCGCCTAAGGCGCAATTACGTCAGAACGAAGATTACGTCTCGACGAGGCATTTCTTCGACTCGGCAATTAACCGATATTTTTAAGTAATACGTGCAAAAATAAGAGGCTGTATATCTGCGCGAATTGTTGAAAGGAAACTTTTCACGCCATTTGTTTAAGCAATTCTTACGCGTTCACTTAGAAAATCGCCTGTCACTGACGTCGACGATGTCCACGCGACTTAGGCGGAGCAATGTTCATGTAAGGTGAGTAATGTTTCTTTATTTAGCTGCATTAGTGGCCAAACTTGGCACGATTTTGACGGTGAGAGTTCGCAATTTGTATTAAACTTCGGGCGTTACTCGTAATTAACGTTGTCACCCGCCACGGTATATAATCGAAGTGCTGCGCTGCAATTTCTTATCGTTCTAACTACCGTAAGATCAATAGCGCAAACCACGTAATAATCGGGGATTCATAAAGCTACAATTGTCCGTCAAACGCTCGATCCAAATGCCGACTTCAATTTCAACCACAAGATCTTGTTCTCGACAAATTCGTCACGACGCGTACACCACAAAATCGACAACCTATGTACAACAAATGGCTCGACTCACCGAGAAATGTATGATGCATCGCCATTCGCGTCCTGGGGCGCTACGTCTTAGATGTCTTAGGGTTAGATTGTTCGGCTTTTTGACCCAACGTCCTGATTCTCGGCCGCTCTGGCACTCCTCCATGACACTGACACTCGCGCGAAGACACGATTCGATCGTAGAGACGCGTGTTAATCAACGCGACATCGACGAGAATCCAATTAAACATCGCGAGAGTATTCTATAAGTCGCCCGGCAGGACTGATAATCTAACCTTGAAACGCGACGACAGTCCGATTAAGCATCTCTAGAATCGACGAATATTCTAGTCGCCCGGCAAAATGACAAGCTAACCTAACCTAACCTTGACGCGTCGGTCGACACACACTGCGCGGCACGCTCGCCCCGGCTCGGGTCATAATGTAAACATTGAAGAAACTACGCCACACGTAAACTCAGCCCGCGCACGCTTTAGCATCGGATCAAATGACGAGATTACTCTCCGGTAACGTGCTTGCGACACATCCCGATGCTCCTGATCTTTTTTCCGCGCGAGGGTCACTCTCGACGGACAAAAGACGCGTGAAACGCGTCGATGTGTAAT